TATACGTCTCAGCGTCAAAGGGTTTGGCGCCTAGGTCGCGGGGCCACGTCGGCATCAAAGTACAGTCAAGGGTGACATGGCAGCCTGCTCGGCGCCGTGGATCTTGGCGCCAAGCTTGGCGCCGTAGATCTTGGCGACATAGATCCTGACGCCGAACCAGCCTTATAGGTGGGTCCTTTTCCTTTCTCTCTTCCTTCCTTTCCTTTTCCTCTCTTCCTTTCTTCTCTCTCGCTGAGCGCCTCCACGCCCGGCGCCGGCCGCTCCCCTCCGCGCCGCATCCCATCCCCGTGTCCGTGCCACCGCACCCCGCCCGCGTCGTGCTCTGCTTGCCATCCTTCATCGCGCCTCGTGCCCCCATCTCGGCCGCCGCGGCCTGGCTCGGCGTCCGCGCCCCGCGCCCTGTCTCACAGCCATCTTTGCGTCGGCGGTTGCCCCATCGCCTCGGCCATCGCCGTGCCACCTTTCGAGGTGGCCTCCCGCCCACCGGCCGGCTGACCCATGGCTGCTGCTTGGCCTTTAAGGCAGGCGCTTGCTTCCTCCCATCCTCCACATTTGGCCGGACGCGTAGGTCGTTCTTCGCCACCCCATCCCACGACCGTCCACCACGCCCGACGCCTCCTCCTGCTCTCCACCGCGTCGTGCACTGCCATCGTTGGACAGGTAAATTTCGTGTATATGCAATGTTGTTAGATAGTGAGGTTGAATTGTGGTGTAGTAGTTAGTTTGTTGATGTACTTAGGATGGTAATGTGTTAACCTATTAAGTTTAGTTAGTTGGTGATCTAGAGATTAGGTGATAACCTAGTTAGACTATTTACTTAGTTAGCTATCTACTTAGTTATGATAACCTATTTAGTTTAATTAGTTGGTGATGTAGTGATAATAAGGTGATAACCTAGTTGTTGGACATGTATGGAGCTAGCTATTATGATAACCCCCTTTCTTACATCCATTTTTCATTCTTTTCTCATTTTTCTACTTATGTTGCAGGAGACATTCCTGACAATGTGGATGTGCCCCCTGTTGCTGCGTAAGTGCACTATGGAGATGGATTTCGTGGCTCCAATAGTGTTGAAATTATAAATGATTCGGAGCCATATGAGATGGCAAGGAAGATTGGCCAAAATGCATGCATGGTGATGGCTGCTTAGTGTAGATGTTCACCGAAGGGATCGACGGAGGTTGTCGCTTCTTCAAATGCCCGCGAGCTTGGGTAATTGCTATTACATTTCGTTTGTTAAATATGTTTCTCGAATACCCTTACAACTCATAGGACATACTTATTGTAGTATTCCAAGTCTGAAGAAAACTGTGGGTTCACTGGGTGGGTCGATACTCGACCAATTTATCCGCATCAGCAGTACATCTACTACCTGTAGGACCAAATCTTCGATCTACAAAGGAAAGTTAGCAGCGGGTATAAGGAAGACGAAGACGAAGACAATAACAATGGTGCAAGTTCACAGAAGGCACTCTGCAATGATTCATATTGCACCTGCCCTAATAACAAGAACAAGGGGTCCCCGCCGTCACCCCCGCCGCCACCACCACCACCACCACCATCAACAATGGGAGGCTACTGTGGAGAAGGTGCAACACAATTTACTATGTGGCCACACTACTAGGCATGTTAGGTTTAGTTGAAGAAACTATGTACCCTTGTTTGGTACATGTTCTCACATGCCATTTCGTGTGCTTGTTGTTCGCTTCAATTACCTAATGCATGTTAGGTTTAGTTCAGGATCTCTATACTCTAGTTCGGTACATGTTCTTATATGCTATTTCATGTGTTGTGTGTGTTGAATTATATAATGCCCTATTTCATTAGATTTTGTTTACAGCACGTGATCACATTTCACTACGTCCGTAATATTAAACTGAATATTATGACCATAAATAATGAAAACAACTACATAATAAAAACTTCAATACTATGACACATTAAACAATATAATAATACTAGAAGTACGTGCCAACAATCTAAATAATACAGTACATGACCTAAGCATGCTCATACTTAAAGTACATTACATGACAACAGAATGAAAAGTCCAATAGTAGACAACATTGTTTATGAATAAACCATAGAACTAGCAAGTAATTGAGACTACTGAGTACAATGAGACCACTTTCCCTTTCTCAGGGCATCGGGATTCTCCTCCATCGCTGTTTTTGCTCGGCGTGCACGCTCAAGCTTCTTCTCCCTCTCCTCCACGCACGAGCAACACGCTTCCTTTCCTCCTCTTCCTTGTGCTCCTTTTTGTAGCCTCTTCTTTGCGTCTCTTCTCCATCATCTCCTTGTCCTCTGCCTTCCACCACAACAGTTTTTGCATCCATTCCTTATCTTCAGTCTCAATCTTAGTGTCGATCCATTGCTTAAAATCATAGAGCGATGGAGGGGTCTGCAACAAATGCAGTTGTTACAAAACAAAAAAAATCATGCAAGATGTCATATGACACAAAATAATTATTACACAACATCAATTCCTCACCATCTTATTAATGCGGCGCTGACGAAGTGTAGGCTCAAACGTAAAATTGGAACACATCCAATACCTCTGCCTATACGTGTCATCTTCATCGGACTTGGCTACCTTGCAAGGATCGTTGCAAAAGCACATGGGCACCGGACCACCACTAGGTAGAGGCAATGGGTCGAAGGCATTTCTGGTCATCCGACCATAGCTACAATTTAGCCATTTTTGTTCTAAAAATCGAAAGCAATTAGCATTAAACCATACATCTAGAGTTTCCCATTTGATCCACGATAATGAACCCTTAACATAACAACGTGCGTTGAGGTTATCTTGGTTTGCTAGTTTTTTCACGTCTTGGCATCCTACGGTTGTATAATATAAATATTAAAATTGCATGAAACCCTAAATAATGACGATTCTTAAGTTCAAAAATCCGACTAATATATATCGAATCGATGTGAAAAAAACTAAGAGGGAGCGAGGATCCCTTGCTCTCGAAGATCTACGGATCAAATCAAAGTTTTCAAGGTCCAATATGCCGATTCGTGAGGTAGGGCAAAGTGGGGAGAGAAAAAACCCTAGAGGGAGGTGAAAGAAGAGGAAGAAGGCTCGGGCAGGAAGGTTGAGCGCTGAGTTAAAACACTACTTCAGCGCCATAGATCTTGACGCCGAGAACGGTGCCAATAACCACGACGCCAAGTTCGGCGCCAATAACCACGGCGCCGACCTAGGCGCCAAATATTTTCGCGCCGAGACTTGTAAGCTCGGCGCCACCAACAATGATGTTAATGTAAGGTTCAGATTTTAAAAGTATATCTTCATAAGCATATTTGTGAAGAACTTAAAAAATGAAAAAAAAAAAAACCGCATCGTTTTCGTAAGTGGAGCCGCAGCCCGCGGTGACTCACACGGATCGCGGAAGAAGACTCTCCCCTCCCCCACCCGCAGCCACGCTTACGTGCAGATCGATTGATTAAAAGTAATCATCGCGCGTGCAGCTAGGTCGCGGCAGGCATGGTACGCTGCCCTGCGCCGGGCCGCGCGCTCGGTGCATGGCCAACAGGCAGGTGCTCGGAGCCTCGGACCCGGCGCCCCACGCGGCCACGCCGACGCGTCACCGCGGAGCGCTGAGTCGGAGACGTGGTGCACCTGCGGCCTGCATGCATGCTTGCCTAGTTGCCTTTGCTGCCTCACGCCACTGCCACCCACCCCCACGTCCCGTCCAAAACGCCAAAACTGAACACGCTCAATCGATCGGACAGACCGAGAGCTCAGCCGCAGCGTCCAAGGACGTCCCGTCTCCGGTCAGCCAACCGGCGTCCCCGCCACGAAACTCCCTTGTCCGTTTCTCGCTTTCTAGCTCGCCGGATGGGATCGGTGAGCGTCACGACTCGGCGGTGGGTCGGGTCGGGACAGCTATGTTACGCTGTCATTATAAACCGGTTTATTAGACCCGGCGCAGGGACAACGACACCGCGCCACGCCATTTTAGATCACTGGCCATCTACTAGTACTCTCTAATCCAATCCATCACTTATTGAAGCCCCTCCTCTGGCGCGGAGACTCGCAGCATGCTGTGTGTGTTTTCTTAATATAATCCAGCCTCGAATCGAACGTTTTGTTTTGCTGTCAGTAGGTTGTATCGAAGCTATTTTAAGAGATTTCATGTACTGAACCTGAATATTTTTTAAGAGATCCATGTACTGAACCTGAAATATTCGGTGTCTTGCTACTGTTCAGTGGGCCGTCTCGCCTCCGTTACATCGGCACCTCACATCGATCGTTTGGTGCTATGAACCCATTTTTTTTTTTACAACATATGCACCCATTATTGGTACAGTAAAGCGTAGCAGTAGCACTCGTCCAAAAGAAATGGAGAGTGATTTATAGCAACGTACTGTACCTACGATCGCGGCTTTGCTGTCTGTGCTGTTGTTGAATTATTCTTTGCAGTTTGGCTTTTTTTTTTTGTTGACAACAACTTATATATATTCATTAAAGCGCGATGTAACATCGTGGAAAAAAGTTTCCCAGATTACGAAGCAAGGTATTGAAAAAGGAATTGCTGGACTGCTCTGAAGACATAGGTGATGTTTGGCGTTGAACACACAACACAGTAGAAAAGGTAGCGTACGGATCCTTGGAACATGGCAAAATTGAAATTTTCCATTATCGAAAGACAAAAAAAAGACGTGCTACAAGAGATCAACCAACTGATCAATTGTACAAATTCGTCCTTTTTTCTCCAGGTGCCCTTAAAATTGTCACACCATGAATAATGAACACCCACCCACTGGCTCGCATCAACACGAACGAAACAAGAAAAAGCGTACTACCCCGACTTTTTCCCCTTACATACAAGCATGGAAACGCAAAAGGAAACAGGAAAAGTGGTAGCAAGAAAAGAAAAAAAAATCAAGAGATAAGCAATTAGCAGCACTGCTGATTTTCTAACCTACCGATCGATACCTACACCCAACCGGCAACCGCACTCGCGCCGCGCCCGCCGAACGAGCGAGCCAGCTCATCTCCCGCCGAACGCGCGAGGCGGCGGTGGATCACCGATCAGCTCAGTCCGCCTCGAAGCCGGTCTTCTTCCAGACGGCGTCCCGGACCCGGCTGAGGTCGCGGCCCTTGAGCGTCCTGCCGATCCCCTCGTGCACCGACATCGACGCCGCCCGGCTGCGCCACGCCAGCTCGTGCGGCGGCACCATCTCCGCCCGCCGCCGCCGCCGCGCGCCCTGCCGCCGTAGCTGCCGTCGTCGTCGTCCGCGTCGGGCTCCCACTCGCCCGCGTGGTAGTGGTCCCGGTACTCGACCCCGAGTATCTTCTGCCAGTCCGGTATGTTCATCGGCAGCGACCCCGCCGCGCCGCCGCCGTCCACTGCGGGCTTCTTCCGCCCGGCCCCCGCGCGGGAGGTGGGGACCGGGCGCGCCCAGCCGGCCGCGGCCTGCAGCTCGGCCCCGGGACTGGAGTGGGAGTCCGCGCCGCCGCCGAACGAGCCCCAGACGACGTCCGACTCGTCGAACTCCTCCGCGGTTCCGGCGCCGGGCCCCCTCGTCGTCGCGGCGCTGCCCCTGGACGGCGCGAACATCAGGTACGCGTGCTTCGCGGCCGCCGACGACCTCGCACTCCCGGCCATGCCGATCGATCAGAATCAGTGGCTCTGGCTTGCTAACTCTTCGCGGGAAGCCGCAACCACGAACCACACCGAAGAGGAGTACGAGAGTGTGGTGCCAGGACTAGGATGGCTACGGTTTTGGAACTTGCACGGGGTTGGATTTTATAGCACCGGGTGTGTGAGGAGGGTTGGAAATGGAAGCTGGAAAGCTGAAAGCAGTGGGTGCACTCGCTGGGTTTGCTGCTTGCAGAATGCAGAGTGATGACGAGGCAGGACTGTGGGACCGGAAGCGGATAAGGCTGTTTCCGGAATGACGGCACTGCCCTCCGGCGGTTTGGACTTTGGCGCGCCACGGCCCACGGGCCACGGGTTGAAGGTGCGTTCGGCGGAACGGTGGGCGCCTGTGCGGCCACTCCTGACTCCTGAGGCGTGGCCGCGCCAACGTTAGACACGAGAGATCTGGATGCGTTAATTAACCTTGTGATAGGAACAGTGCAAAGCCATGCATGCAATGATGCAAAACAAAACCCCACCGCCACCGGATGACCGGACCACTGGTGTGCTGACCTCCCAACGGACACACTGGGTTTTGTCGCTTGTGGTCTTTATTCTTTGGGAATATTGTGTTATTGCCCCTACTTTGATGTCCAATTATGATTTTACTCTTGATTTTGTTATCGTTGTGATTTTATCCCTGCTTTGCTACTAAGACCCGTTCTTCTCTGAAACCCTAGCGGGTGTGGCCGGGCGACGAGGGCACGGAAGCTGCTAGGCGGGTAGTAGCGCCGCGTGAGGAGGGCACGGGCGCGGCTCCGAGCGGCCAGAGCGGGGCGCGTCGCGGGCGGCCAGGGGCGCCGTGCGTCGCGGGTGGCTAGGCGGTGCGGGAGCGGATAGGGCCCAGCGTGGTCGGGCGGCAGGCGCCCCGAGCGGGCAGGACTCCAGGCGCTACGCCAGGCGAGGACAAGAGCAGCGACCCCGGCGAGATGGATTTATGCGACGTTGTTGAAGAGACTAGGTAAGATTTGGAGCTCATGTGATTTGGTCTGTAGGAAAATTAGTATCAATCTATATGAAGAATGAGTTTCTATTTGTAGAGCGATTTAGCTAACTATATATTCGGTGATGTGATTTGTAGGCCAAATCACATGGATATGAGCCTTGTTGTTAGAGTTCTGTCATTTTTCAGTTTGTCTGATGGGGGACCAAAATCATGGCGATAGGGTAGAACCTTGCCTACTCAAGTTGTTGACATGCATAGCTTTGACCTACTACAGCTAGTTAATTTCATAGCTGAGTTCAAAACAGTACATAAGTTTTGTGGCGTGCTTTGGATGAAATTTCTAGAGGACCTTCTATTGAGATTAAAACTGATGAGCAGTTGCTTGAGTGGTTTGAACTCAATAAAGATAAGGGAAAGGTGTACATTAATGCCCAAATTAATGATTTTGAGGGTCCATTGCGATATTCACCAACAAAACGTAGGTGCCACCCTTCTGTAAGGAATAGAGTGCCCACCAATGAGACAAACACTGCTGAGAGAGCCACATCCACAAACAAAAGAGAGAGAGCCACCAAAAAAGAAGTAGCCACCAAATCCAAAGCAAAAGGCGCACATCATGATGAGGGTGTAGGAGTTGATGAGAAGGGCATATATTCTGACACTGATTCATTTGTGGCAGCAAGTGATAGCAGCTATGATAGTGACTTGGTTGCATCCTCTGATTCTTATGATGATTGCTCTGACCCTGAGTTTAATCCCGATGGTGAAGTTGTTGTTGATGATGATGAATATGACCCTTCACCCTTCTCATATGATGTTGATAATCAATGTATTGATGCAAATGTGGTGTTCCTAGACGTGGATCAGTGCAAGTCTGCAGTTATACATCATGCCATCTTGAATGATCATGCTTTTGAGATTGTGAAAAAGGACAAGAGCAGATTTAGAGTCACATGCAAGAGAGCGAATCAGGGTTGCAAGTGGAAATTTTTTGCATCTATAAGTAAAAAGTACAAGGATTTTCAAATTGTGGATATGCATGACAAGATAGATTTGTGTGGAGTAGAAGCAAATTTGGGGAAGAATGCAAGGTAGATTACATCAACAACAATCTCTCTAAAAGCTTTAACAGTTGGGTGTCCAAAACCAAGGATTTTCAAATTATGGATATGCATGACAAAATAAGACAAATGATCATTGAGAAATTTATTTTGAGAGCCAAGATTGCTAGTAAAATGCCAGACACAATCATTCCAACTGTGACCAATGCTCTAAATGCTAAAGCCAAGAGTATCAAGGACCACGAGGTATTGATACGTGCGGCTAGAATAGCTGAAGTAACTATGAACAGATTCAGGTACGCAATCAACTTAGGACAAAAAAACATGTACTTGTAGGGCTTAGCAAGTAACTGGACAACCCTGCACCCATGCTTTAGCTTTCATTTCTAAGATTAATAGAGAGGCACGGATAGATGACTTTGTGCATGAATACTTCTCTGTTGATCGGTTAAAAAAGGCATATGCATGTTCTTTCAATCCAATAACATCCCAGGATAATTGGCCACATGCTGATTTGGGCTATAAAATCAAGAAGTCTAAACTGAGAAGAAAACCAGGAAAACCAAAAAATTCTAGGATCAAGTCCTATGATGAGGCCACCACCAGTAATGTAATGAACTAGGCCATATAGCGAAGCATTGCCAAGGAGGTCCAACTGCTAGTCAAAAGAGGAATCGCTCATCTTCTCAAAATGAATTATCTTCACAAGAAATGTGAGTCATGCTCATTTGTATTTTTTTGCTTCTTTACCCATGCTTATTTAGTCAACTTGTTTACTGAATAATTTTTCTCCATTCATGTGAAGTGCAAGTGCAACTGCAAGTGTAAGGGAAAGGGGAAAGAGAAGGGGAAGGGGAAGGGGAAGGGGAAGAGGAAGAGGAAGTGCAAGTGTAGGACCTGGAACAGAGGGAGCAGAAGGGGATGGAACAGAAGGAAGAGGAAGAGTATGGAGGTTGAGTGCATTGTTAGGAATAGATGCATGAATATAATGTATGAGACTGATTATGTAATATCTCACTATTAGCTACCGCTTTTGTTGGACTTATACGTTGGATGAGGCTTGGTACTGTATGGATACTTTTATTACACTTTTATTTGATGTGATATTATCTATCTATATTTGCATGCTGTGTGGAATCATATGTAACAAGTTGTGCAATGATGCTGTCAATTTTTTTAAAAACAAGGGTAAAATCACAGTGTATTCAGATAAGTAGGAACAATTTCGCATGGGCAAACTTATCCTTACTGAGCCCATTTAACACCGTTACCTGCTGTTTCCGGAGTATGTGTAAACTTAAGTTTCGTTTTTAAAAAATAGGGATAAAATCACAATGATGACAGAAGCAGGGGTAAAATCATAATTGGACGTTAAAATAGGAGCAAAAACGTAATAGACCCTTATTCTTTTTATTGTATATATAAAAAAGGGAAATTTGTCACATGTAGCGTAGCCCGTTCGGCTGCTCAATTCTTTCCTTGTTTTAGCTTGTTTTATCTTATTGGCCCTGTTCGATGGTCTGAACTTTGGCTGAAACTGGCTGAAAAATACTGTTTCGGCTGAATTGTTGTGAGAGAAAAATACTGTTCCGGCTAAAAAAGTAAACCAAACAAGCCAAATTTAAGACAAGCGAACGAGGCCGTTGTCTCACGGAATACCATTGAATCGTCGAAATCACGCCAAACCTGATCAGCCGAACGGGCCTCACCTTTCTTTTAAAGGTGATATGGTTGTGCCACCTTCGTACATGATCTACCATGAATGCGTTTTGTCCGTTTCCAAACAACTGGCTGCTAAAGGTGTAGTCCTACAGTCCTACTGTTCAAATTAAAGCTTGGCAAGGCGATTTCGATGGAAACGATTTTAGTAATTTATTTAGCAGATATTCTCAGAAAGCACTGCCGACGTCAAAGTATAGTAAGCAATAGGATCATCAAAGTACGACGAGTAATAGAAAGTACTCCCTCTATCCCAAATTGTAAGTCATTCTAAAAATCTTAGAGAGTCAAAGTTTTTCAAGTTTGACCAAATTTATATAACAAAATAATAATATTTATCATACCAAATAAGTATCATTAAATTTTTCATTAGTTATATTTTCATATTATACCTATTTGATGTTATCAATATTTGTGTTTATCTCTATAATTTTAGTCAAACTTAAAAAAGTTTGACTCTCTAAGATTCTTGGAATGACTTACAATTTAGGATGGAGGAAGTAGAAAAGACCCCCAAACTGCTAGTTTAATTTTCCATCGACAAAGAAACAATGTAACTTGTGTCCACGCACGTTCGTTTGGCTGTGGCTTATCATAAACGATCGTAAATTTCTAGTCGGAACAATATTTTTCTCTCACACAAATCAGCCAGCAGTACTTCTTCACAAACCAGCAACAAAAACGAACCAGCCAACTGAACGTAGTGACAGAGGACGGATGAGATGATTACAACTACCGAGTACCTGTGAGAGAAAAATTAAACCTACCAATCAGCAGTTGTATCCTCCTCTCTCATATGTCCTCGATCCGAGCGAAACCGCCTGACGATTTCTTCATCATTAGAGAATTCTCTCTCTTCTTCTTTTCAGCCCATTGCCTAGATGGTTTAATCGGGCTCCTATTCCGTGTACAAGCTACTTGAGATGTCCGGTCTCTGTGTGCTTAGACAGACAATGTTTACAATGCAATAGGAAACCACACATAAACTGTATGAGAACGGTTTAAATGGTACGTCTACTCTCTCCACCCCAAGTTATAAGATATTTTGTTTTTTTTCCAGATACATAGTTTTTACTGTGAACTTAGATATAAACTATGTCTTGAACTCTCGATATATATATATATATAAAAACTAAAACGCCTTATAATTGAAAACGGAAGAAATATTTTTTAAAGTGTCTACTTACCTATAATCGGTCTGTTCGCTGGTTGATTTTTGGGCTGATAAGCCCGGTTGGTGT